TAATTTTGGTACTGTATATTTAATCAAACGAACAACAAAAAACACTTAGAAAAAGCTAAAATTCAAGAGCATCCTGCCTTTTTTTTTTTTTAAAAAAAAAACAAGTTACATTGTAAAGAAAGTCTTTATCATTAATACATTAACTGCTAAAGGAACTGTAGAAGAAACGGAAATTGTAAAGGCATTAAAAAAACAAACAAACAAACAGAAAAAAAAACCATTGCCGAGTTGATTTCGACTCATAGCGAACCTATAGAACAGAGCAGAACTGCCCCATAGAGTTTCCAAGGAGCGCCTGGTGGATTCCAACTGCAGACCCTTTGGTTAGCAGCCGTAGCACTTAACCATTACGCCACCAGGGTTTCTGTGTAAAGTCATGGAAGCATGAAATAGCCTTATGTTCCAGGAACAACAAACAGTTTGTTATGCGTGGAGCTGGCTTTGATTAGGAAGGCATCTTTAACTGGAGGAAGATGAGTTCTAAGAGACTGCTAAATCAACTAAAGAAATATTTGTAATAATTAAAAAAAAATTGCCACTATCGGCTAAGCATATACTGTGATTCAGATGCTATGGTAGGTGCCTCACATATATTATTTCTAAACCTCACAGCAAATGCCACTAGAACGTAAGCTCCAAGGGTGCAGGGGTCTTGCTGAGTTCTTCACTGCTGTACCCTTACTGCCTAACCACAGTGCTCACGTACAATCACAACAAATATCTGACTGAATCATGAATGAACACTTTAAGGAGGTATTTATTAATCCCATTTTACAAACCTGAAGAAACCGAAGTTCAGAGAACTTCAGAAACTTGCCAAAGGCACACAGACAGGAAATCGCGGAGTAATTATTTTTACCCAGGTCTCCTTAAATTCAGAGTCCATGAACATAAAACAATGTCACAAATCTATTAAACACAAAACGTCAACAAAATAGAGCATGTCCACATTTTTCTGGCTTCTCACCACTAGGAGGCAGCATTCCCTATACACTTTCAAACATGACAAAGATTCACTTCTGGAAGAAATCAGCTCATCACTTCATCTTTGGGGAGCAGTGACCGCACGAAGGACGGCACTGCTGGAACAGCATGTGGTTTGAAGTCAGAGAACCTGAGTGCAAGCCCTAATTCCACCACTTACCAGGCACGTTATTTTTTGGAGATTTGGTGCACTGGTCTGTAAAATGGGAGATGACATGATACTAGCCCTTATGCTGGGAGTTACTGTAAAGATCCAATGGGAAGATGCAAGTAACATAAAAAGCTTGTATTTAAGCAAATTCCATATGTCAGGTACTGTGCTTAGTGATTTACTTCCATGATTTCACTGAAGTCCCGCCACCACTGAGAGATAGATACTATTATTATTTCTCTTCACAGATAAGAAAACTAGCATTAGAGAAGCTAAGGGATTTGCCTAAGGTTATAAAGCTAGTATGTTGAGAGCTGGGATTCCAGGTCTGACTGAGACCACAACCCATATTCCTCCCACCATCTATACATCATAGCCTCTCTAACCCTATATTATGAGACAGAACAACTTTTGACAAGACCCATTTCCTATGACTGGGCAGGGGAGGAAGGGGTAAGAAAAGCAGGTTACTTCAAAACTGGCTTTGGTATGGGCTCCCAAAGCAGTCAGTCAGCCTCAAGCGCAATACTCTTTGCAGTCCTCAGACGTCTGTTAAAAGTTAGAAGCTGGTTAATTAAAGATGGCCTTTACCCTGTGTGACATTAACACCACGTGTGTTGCTATTGAGTGTTTTCCTGTAATACCTCACTTGATCATCATACTTTCCATAATCACAAAAAGTCCAGAGGAGAAGTGGGGTGGGGGTGGGGGACAAAAAAACCCAAACATTTCTAAGTGGTGGCTGAGATAGTCACCATCACTTGGTTGGTATTTTCAGGACCACCCTTCAGGAATTCACACTACACCTGCAACACCAGTCGCTTACAGGTAGCCCAAATAATACAAATTTTCCCTATATGGAGTCAGTCAAAAGCAGAAGGCTGGCGTAAGACCTGGCCCCCAAATCGACCCTTTCTTTTTTCCCCCTTAAAAATAAGTAATGCTATTAAAATACCTCCCTTTACAAGCAAAAATCTTAATTAGAAGATTACATGTTCCAGTGCTTAGAACAAACCCTGGCACACAGTAGGCATTGCTGATTGAATTGAGAATATGATTTAGAAAGTCTTAAAATACCAAAGTACCTTCTGTTACCTTACTCTCTAAATTTTAACTGTATCAATTACTGATTAATGCTTCTAGCCTCACTAGCTTAAGAGAAAAGGATTTTCAGGAATTGTCTCAGAAACACTGGCTCCCAAGGGGGTGTTTCAGAGCTTTATCAGGGTGAAGGGTTCCCCTGAACTCATCAACCAGGACTGTCGGTGTCAAGCAGATCCAGGAACCCTCCCAACCCTGGGAACTCAGCTTCTCCGGAGCCGCTGCTCCAGGGAGTGGCCCCTTCCACCTGTCTGGTTCACTCTTCCCTATCCTGATAAAAAATAAGGGAACCAGCTGGCTATTCTCAGGCTGTATAAACTCCCGGGCCTGCCTTTTTATCCAACCGGAATAGCATTCCCCAAGGAACCAAGCTACAGTCCAAACGGAGTCTTCTACCTGCTCTCTCATTAAGAATGCCACACCACCTTCAAAGGGAAATATTTTGCTTTTATTTTACTTTATTTTTATGAAATGAATTAGGTCTTCCAGCAATTTCTTTTAGATCTTTCTCAGACTTCTATTCCTTAACAGGAAGTTGACATGGAAGGCCTGCAGCTTCGGGTATGTTTGGTGGAAAGCTAAATCGGTACTTCTGCTAGTCAGCGAAACAGAACAGACAGATACAAGGTGCAGAGGTTTAGTAGAGTGGCAAAGACAATGGATTCAGAGACAGAATATTGGGGTTCAAGCCTCCTTACTGTGTGACTGAACAGGTTATATAATCCCAACATTCTTCAGTTTTCTCATCTGGATTTTAGGTATAATAATCGCAGGATTGGTCTAAGGCGTTAAATGAGATAATCCACGTAAAGCACCCACCCACCACACTGCCTGATACATCATAAGCATTCAATAAATAATAGCTGTGTTTGTACTGATATAAGCAAATGCATCAGATAAGCAAATACAGACAATGAATGTTTGCTGAGTGGCCCCTGACCTGTGTGTATGGCACCTATACGCACATAGTTGTAATGATGCAGAAATGGATGAGTCTAGGAAAACTGGAGGTGATGACTTTTTTTTTTTTAATTCTGCTTTAGGTGAAAGTTGGAGGTGATGACTCTTGATTTAAGCTAAACACATCTGGTATCCTGGAAACTAAAGGTTAGCAAGATATTCATGTGAAAATGTCTACTTCAGGGAAAACAGAACTTCCTCTGCCAGCAAGCCCTTTACCAGCTATTACCATAGTGAATTGTCAGAGTCTTGTTTCACTACCTTTCTTCCCACAACGTTTTAAGCAACACCACAAGCAAAAGCCACGCAATCCCCACAGGAAGGAGAAATGAAGGCTCTCTTCTGAATAAAAGAGACTTAAATAATCTAAGATTTACAGAAATATCATGAACTTATCAAACACACCTAAAAGGTGAGGAATATGTAGCCCCTAAGTTCAAAATGATCCTTTCTCACATTTTTGAAAATAAACAATATTGCTATTTTCAATTTTTTTTTTCTTTAAGATTAGCTGATTTACTGTACAAGACTAACTCCTACCACCAATTAAAATTAAATTGCCAGGAAGACAGACATGCACATACATTCATCTGGAGTGACAGAAAAAAGAATATTCTGATTGGTCAAATATTCACCTTAATAAATCACAGAAAGGTAGTTTTCATTTTCAAACAGGTTGTATTTCATGTGTAAGCTAGCTGTTTGTAACAGATGGATTTATGACAAGGCTCCCACCTAAGGCCACAGAAGCCTATTTGATACAATTACTCAACCAACCCAGGATGATGACATCTTGAGCTTGGATCGTGGATCCTTAAAGGAGGGCAAGGTGCAATATTGAGACTGGGGGAGGGGATGAGGAAGAAACACTTCCTCTTCCAGGAAGAGTTAACACTGAAGAAAAGTTTAATATAATAGTTTTTCTCTGGCACCTTTCAACCTCCTGGTACCCTTACCTCTTTGGGCTTAAGACAAAGGGGACCCGATTAAATTAATTCACTTGGAAGTTTGAATGACTCTTTAGAAAAATACTTCCCTTAAAAAAAAAAGAAAAAAAAAATCCAGATGGCCAGTCTAGGTATAGTGTTATATGACAAGTACAGTGTGAGGGTTGGGGAGGGTGGTGTGGCACAAAATGGAGATGCCCAGACAATGCTACTGGGCAAACAGACGCACTACACCCCATCTCTGAGTCTACCCCTAGGGTTAGTACCTCTAGTGCCCCAGATTTTCAGGGATTCTTCCCGTTCTCCACTTCTGAAACCATGGGCTCTCTAAATCTCAATGCCTTTGTCATGGTTGGGGTGGGGGGAGGTTAAAAAAAGTGGGGAGTGTGGGGGGTGTAATTATTTGTAAGCCAGGGACCAAAATGCATTATTATCATCACACAAGTCATAGGTAATACTTACAATGTTATGCTTCCAATGTATGTTTTACACAGAAATTATCATAACTCTTTTAGCCAATTAAAAAGCAAAAGTTACTGAAGGTTATCTTTAAAAAAAAAAAATGAAGACAGAATGTGGAAGAGAATTCAAGTTAACCAGTTTCTCTCCGTTTTGATAAATCTACCCTAGTATCAGGTAGGCCAAATGTACAAATTCTAGGAATTTCACAATGGGAGTTTCTTTAAATGGGACTCCATACTTAGGTCTATGATTAAAAAGGTTTTTTTTTAACCACCCCCCACCCCGCCCCAATAACTGAGGGATGGGGAGGAGATTATTAAATTGCTCTCATTACATGATTTCGTTATACCTCGATCAGGCTGTGACTGTGAAAAATTCTTTATGAAACAACTTACCAGATTTTTCAGCAGTGTGGACAGTTCCTTCGTAAGAGTGGAAAACTTGACGAAAGCAGTGCCAAGATCTGGGTTGTCCCGACTTAAAAAATTACTTCCAAACTTATCAAGAACTTGTGCATAGTTTTCTTCATTTTGTACATGATCTAAAGAAAAAAAAGGAAGAAAGAAGAATAAGCTATTATTTGCCACAATGAACAGTTACTTTGAACACTGATCACTAGAAACTCTTCAAAAGGAATGCAAAGAGAAGCTGCATCAATTATTTATTGAACATGTCCAGAAGGTAGCTGGCAGTGTACTGAATGTTCTAACTCACTCTATTAAAGGTCCTTCCTTTTTCTTTCACAGCATTTAGCTCACCTACAGTTCAATTAATCCTCACAACTCCCCATAGGTTTAGGGGTCAAATTATCATCACATTTTCAAGAAATTAAAAACAATGATGATTATCAGGGAACAAGGAGAAAATCCTTCTTAGAAAATCAATTCTGGAATGCCAAGAAAAATCTATGTGTTCTGGTATGTTTCTTTCTATGTTAACTAGCCTTAATTTTAATTTTGTCTAAACACCAGGTTTGAGGAATAGCATTTGTAAAATACCTTTTCACATACCATTTCTTGCTGAAAAATGTGCAGGCTTGGAGCAGATGGATCTATGCTGGAAGTTTGGTTTCACCACCTACGACTTGCTACCTTATTAGTTTGCTACCTAACTGACACATGAGAGATAGTAAGTAATCCAATATTTGTGAATAAATTTCTCCTACTTGAGCTCTGGTTTCCTGATACATAAAACGTACACCTTACAGGAAGATCCTCAATGAGATGGACTGACACAGTGGCTGCAACAATGGGTTCAAACATAGCAACGATTGTGAGGATGTTGCAGGACAGGGAAATGTTTCATTCTGTTGTACAGAGTTGTTATGAGATGGAACCGACTAGACGGCACCTAACAACAATAAAACACGGGACCAAAAACCCTATGGAGCAGTTCTACTCTGCTCACATGGGGTCACCATGAGCTGGAATTGACGTGACAGCAACGAACAACAACAACATATCCAGTGCCTAGCACTGGGCCTGGGACATAGCGAGTGCTCAGTAAAATACTTGTGTGTGTAGTGAATTCTCCCACAACTAGAATTTGTTAGTTTTCCTTCCTTTAAAACATATTTAATTAGCACTGGCCATGTACCAAGCATATAAAATACAATCAGTTACAACTGCAATAATAAAGCCATGTAATACCTGTCATAAATTATAGTGCCAGCATAAAGGGGAAAGTGATACCTTTTTTTATACTACCCCATACATACTCTGTAACACTAATAACCCTTTTTATAAAATTCAATTCCATTTGTTTTTAAAATTATAAAAGTAATTCATATGTTATTACAGGACGTATAAAGATAAAAATTATAATTTCCTTTCTCCTTCTCCAATGCCATCTCCTTGAAATAAGCAAAGTTAATAATCTGGACTATATCCTAGAAAGCTTTCTCTCTGCTAACACACACAATACACATACACATGCAAATAAATGTAAGGGTCTTCAGCCCTTTCCTCAGTTTTTAAAAACTAAAATGGGATATTATATACAAGACTCCCTGGCTTACTTTTTTCCTACCAAACAAAGATCACAAAATTCAATACAAATAAATCTAATTAATTATCTGAACTGTGATTATATTCCATAATAGGCTCTACCACAATTTTATGATTGTTCCCCTACTGAGAGACTTTCAGGTTATTTGCAGCTTTTGCTAGCAAAAAAACAATGTTGCAATAAATATTCTCATACAAAGCTCTGACATTCTGTTACTTTACCTCTGGAAATACATATTCACAAAAGCAGGGCTGCTGGGGAAGAAGGTGCACATTTCAAATTCTGTGTTGCCACGCTCCTCTCAAAAAAGGTTGTAGCAATTTGCATCCCCAGCAGCAATGCAAATATTGTTGTTAGCTGTCCTGGAGTCAGCGTCAACTCATGGCAACCCCCTGAACAACGGGATGGGACCGTTACGATCCCTGTTTTTCATCGACTGATTTTTCAGAAGTAGATCACGTCAGTCCTTTTCTTCCTAGTCTGTCTCAGTCTAGAAAGCTCCGCTGAACCCTGTTCAGCATCATACCAACACTCAAGTCTCCACTGACAGGTGGTGGTTGTGCTTGAGGTGTACTGGCTGGGAATCAAACCCACACTTCTCTCTCTATAGCCTCATCTTTTCTAATTCTTGTCACATAAATGTGTGAAATCCCTGACTGCAGTAAGCCCGAGTATCTTAAAAAAAACTTTTTTATTGTCCATTAACATTTCCTCTTCTGCCTGTTTACATCCTCTGCTTAGTTTTCCTTTGCTTGTCTTTTCCCTATCAATCTGTAACAAGCCTGCCTTGTATTACCAATAGTAATGTTTTGTAATATGTGTTGCAAATATTCTCTCCCATTTGTCTTTTAACTTAAATCATCCAGACAATTTAAAATTTCATGTAGTCAAATATATCCATCTTTACCTAAATGGCTTTTGGTGCCTTGCTTATGTTTCTAACCTTTCTAATGTTTAGCTTTTGTGTTTCAATCCAATGTAATGTTTCTATTTATACAGCATGAGACAGGGCTCAAATTTTATTTCAAGTATGTCCCTAAACCTTCTAATATTTGGTTTAGGTAGTTTTATTCACTCTCTAGCATTTAAATCTTTTATCTGTCTACAATGGATTTATTTATGTGGCAGGAGGAAGGATTCTATTTTCTTTCCTCTGTATGAAAATATATTGTTTATTTACATGGCCTATAATAGGCATCCATTTTATATTTGATAAATAAATGAACACGACACAAAAAACGAATAAATGACAAAACCTGGATGGAGCTGGTTAGGTTTAACGAGAGAAGATAATTTATCAGCTATGGTGGTTTTTAAATGTCCACAAATACTTGGATGTGGAAACTTGAAGAATGAATAGTTGTTTAACAAGGAGTCTTGAGGTAAGAACATTCCAGGCAAAAGGTAATAGCATACTATAAAAAAACACCATAAAGCACCCAGGGATAGAGGCCAGTGTTTGCTTGAGTGTGCACCTAGGAAACTCTAAGCTCCCAATTAGGGAATCTGTTTTCACTCTAGAGAGGAGTTACCTCCGGGCACTTCCTCATGGGGTAGGCAGGGACCTAAGAAGGAGAAGGAAGAGGTTTATCCAAGGCTATGGAGAAACTGGCACCAACCTGTGCCGGACACCACCCCAGCTGGGAGAGAAAAGGGCAGGGGTGCGGCAACAGTAAAGGGCTGTCCACAGCATCCTCCACCACCGGTCAGTGAGCTACCCGAGGTCAGCACCACCGCCAGGGGGGTACCTGGGCCGCCCAGTGAGCTGGTCAGATGAGCTTCCCAGTCAGAACAGCCCGGGGGAGAGGAGGCCCAGCGGTAGAGGAGCACAGCAGAGACAAGTGAGGAGAAAAGCAAAAGGAAATGAACAGGTTCTGTTCATCAAGAGACACCATAAGGAGAGGAAAATGACCATCGAACCACAAATGGAAAGAAAATATTCGCAAAACATAACAGCTCATGAAAAAGTATTATTCCGAATATATAAAGAATTTTCACAAAACGCTAAGTAAAAGACAAAAAAATCTATAGAAAAGTAGGTAAAATATTCAACAGGACCTCAAGGAGGATGACATTCAAGCGGTCATTAACGCAGGAAAAGATGCTCAACTTCACCATTCTGAAATGTCCCCAAGTTCTCTGATGCTCCTCCCTTGAAAAGGTGCAGCCTAACTCCTCTTCCCTTGAGTGTGGGCTGGACTTAATGACTGAATTCCAAGGAAATTAAAGTGTGTGACTTCAGAGACTCCCCCGTCTTCCCTCCTTCACTGCTTGCTCTGGGGGAAGCCAGCTGCCTTGTCTAGGGAACACTCAAGCAGCCCTGTGGAGAGATCTGTATGGTAAGTGAGCCTTCTTGGAAGCGATCCTTCACTCGATCCAAGCCTGGGGCTGACTGCAGCCACAGTCAGCATCTTGACTGCAAACTCGTGAGAGAACCTGAGCCAGAACAACACAGCTAAGCTGCTCCCAGATTCCTGACCCTCAGAAACCGGGAGACTATAAATGTTTGCTGTTTAAAGTCACTAAATGCAGCAATAGATAGCTAACACATCAAGAATCATGCAAATTAAAACCATAAAGAGATATGATTACATATCCATTGTCTTAGCTATCTACTGCTGCTATAACAGAAATACCACAAGTGGATGGCTTTTAACAAACAAATTTATTTTCTCAGTTTAGGAGCCTAGAAGTCCAAATTCAGAGTGCTGGCTCTAGGGGAAGGCTTTCTCTCACTGTCAGATCTGAAGGAAGGTCCTTGTCTCTTCTAAGCTTCTGCTCCTGGGCAATCTTCATGCAGCTTGGCATCTCTCTTCTCCTAACTCTGCTTCTCTCACTTGCTTGCTTAATTTCTTATATATCTCAAAAGAGATTGACTCAAGACACATCCTACACTAATCCTGCCTCATTAACATAACAAACACAACTCATTCTCAAATGGGACTATAACCACAGGCATAGAGGCTAGAATTTACAACACATATTTTGGGGGACACAATTCAATCCATAACACTCATTAGACTGGCAAAAATTCAAAACTCTAAGAATGCCACATGTTGGTGAAGATGTGGAGTGTTCTCATCTACTGCAAATTAGAGTGTAAAGTGATACTACTCTAGAAAATAATTTGGCACTTTCTAGTTGAAAATGAGCATACTCTATGGCCTAAAAATTCCACCCTAGAGAAACTCTTGCTCATATGTACAGGATGCATATTAAAAAAAAAAAAAGTTCATAGCAACACTTCTATAATAGTGGAGGGGGAGGAGGGGAATGTCCAACACTAGTAGAATGGACAAACTGTGGTGTATTCACTCAATGAAAGACTTCAACACAAGGAAAATAAGTTCATAGGTATACTCAACAACGTGAATGATTCTTAGGAACACAATATTGATGGGGAAAAAGCTACAGAAGAATACTATAGTGCAATTCCATTTGTATTATATATTGTTTAGGGATACAATCATATGTAATAAAACTCTAAGAAAAGCAAATAGATAAAAAACACGAAATTAAGAAAGTGCTTGCCTC